TTTATAATAAGTGCTTGTCACTGAATCCAATCAGGAATCAGGTATTTGGATTAAAGTCGCTTCCCATTACTATCAATTTAACATTTCTCTTTTGATAATGGTAAAGAGATAATAACATGTTGTCTATGGCAACAAAAGCAAAACTAAATCACATTGCGTTTGATTGTTTGGAGTGCCTTGTTGCATTCAAAGTCCGTTTTTATGTTTGGCTTCAGAGACCAAGAGTTGAAATCAGAAAAATTGTATTTACCAGTATGCAGAGTGACAGTCATATCAGCAGCGTACATGAGGTCTGACACATAGTCCAGCGTGAGCCACACAGGAAGGTAGTTCAGACCAATTGCTGTGAAGCAGGTCCTGATGAAACAGAAACAATAGTACTTTGTCTAATAGGACGTCAGTTCGGGTATAGTGTCGTGAATGCATGACTCTGCCATCATTTACCTTAAAATGATGATTACCCAGTTGTAAACAATCGGCACTGTCATCACTTGCAACCAGACGTAATAGAACTGTTCTGCAGGATCAATGGCCCACTCTCTCCAGCTGAGAGGAATGTGATGCGGAAGAAAGAAACAGGCAGAAAGACTTACACGACTCTACGTCGATGCCTCGAAGTGTACAGTTGCAAAAGTAATCCTACCTTCTGATATTTTCCACATTACAACTGCAAAGTGGAGCATATTCCTTCAGAATGGTACGAGACGGACCAACACAAAGTGATGTTGTTGGAGGAAGAGATTACAAGTGCTCAACTGCTTTAGAGGCAGCGTTTTAAAAAGTGCGGCTTGCATTTTATATTCGACCCCTTTTAATCTAATACTCCTAATTAAAATTTAATGTAACCGTTGGCTTTAAAAATTCATCTAATCCACATGGGTGAGAGATTATCTGTGATCATTTCAATCCATAATCCAAAACAGGAAAGCTGTGAACCTGCCAACACATGGCTTACTTACTTCACACAAGTACTTCTTTGTTTGGCTTCCAGTTCCAGTAAAATAGAATGATGTCTGTAGTTGTAACGTGATGAAAATATACAAACATTCAAGAAAATTGGACAAAAAAAATAAAAAATAAAAAAAATATATATATAAACCACTGATTTCTGAGAGATTTGTAAATCCAAATATATAAAAAAACATCTTCCTAATTTAAATAGTGTTCCCTCTACAATGTTGTTGATATAACTAATCTTCCATAGCTATTCAAAAGTATTAACAGTTTATTTCTAATTGACTGATTGCAGAAGTTTATGCTGTACCCGAGAAAATGATATTTATAGAACATGATTTATCATCAAAATGCCTTTTAGAACAGAAGATATTGTGGAGACATTTCAGTAATTTTTACTCATTCAAAAGAGATGAAACCTGAAAATACACTAAAATGATGACAAACTTTAATTAAGATCCAAATTTTTTTCATGTGAAGTCATATTACCAATTACTCACTTGAAGTTAAATTTCATGTCCCAAAAGGGCTTCTTTTTCTCTCCTTCCTCGCCTCCATCTTTGCCTTCCTCATTCATTTTTTGTCCATGATGCCACCTGAGCAGCCCACGCCATCGGTTCGTCCTGACACTAACATTACCTAAATCATCCATTATCGAAACTGGCTTCTTACAACTTTCACTTAAAAAACAGGTGTTTCTAAGGTGCTCACAGGTGGGCGTTTTGCATCGGGCAGAAATGTTGAATGCTGACCTGGATGACAAACTACCTGCGCAGTGCCTGGCGATACCCGTCTCTATGGCAGGAAACAACAACAGATGTCACTGGTACTCAGGGAATTCTTTCCTCCCCATAGAACACCAAGAAGGTCTTTGTCTCTTCTTTCTCAGCCACCACAGACACCGAGTGTGGCATAGAGGTAAACCTACATGTCCCAAAATATTCTGATCAGGAACTACTGCAAGCAGGTGAAAGCGGATAACGCAGATCATTTCCTCTTCAAGAAACATTTTCTATGTGTCTAAGAAACAGGAGCTAGACGAGTTGGTCATAATTATAACAAACTTAGTGTTTTGTAGTAATCATCACAAAGCCCTGACTTTACTCTACTGATTTTTAAAAAAAAAAATCAGTAGAGTTGAAAAGTGGCATCTGAGTAAAAACCTGTCTGTCAGGTGTTGTGGGTCAACATTCCAGCAAATTATCACTGCTTTGAGACAAGACGATTAAAATGTTTGACCCAAGTGACACATTTTAAAGGCAATTCTACAAAGTACTATAGGGAAATGCATATGAATGTCTGAAGGAAACAAAAAGTACATCGGAAAAACTCTCTCCCTGATTATTCTGACATTTAGCAAAGATAAACTATGCCTCTAATCCTAGCTGATCTTAAATGAAGAAAATGTAGTAATCAAAATTGCCTTCATGTGGCCTCGCAGCTTTTTATTTTAGATGTTTAAGGAAGGTAAAATACCATGCAGTCATGCAAAACTATCTTCTTTTTAGCTTTGCATGACTACCGGTAATCTTTGCAAGGTTAACTGTATGCAAATATAGCTGCTAACATCTAGAAACAGAATAAAATTACCAAGTAGCGTGGCAGAGCTCTCTGTGCACTGAAAGTCTGGGATGGATGGAAATACCAGCTGCTTCAGACAGAATTGGAAGATTTCTGCTTATGAAAAATTTCAGGTATGAAAAATATGCTTATAGAGGATGTGCTAAAAAAAAAAGGTTTTCAGAGAGAACATATATTTAGCATATCAGTGCCTAAAATGTTGCTCATTTGCTTCTTTTGCTCAAAAACCAAACAAACAAAAGAGCCATATTTGTTTGCTTCTAAACAAATATGGAAGCAAAAGCTGCCACCACAGCAAAAGACAAACTTTTTTATGTTTAGGTGTGAAAACTTTATGGGTAATAAAAATTTGCATTTTATATTGTGAATGTGATATTATCATTGACTTGACTTGTTTTTTTCTTCAAAATTTCAGATTTACAAAACAATTAAAATATACAAATAAGAGCAGTGTTTTGGGAATGTAGCCATTATAAAATACAATTCATGCAACAAAAGATCATAGGAGAGAATGAAAGGGATGCTAATTTGTGAATTAGCATAAACAAACTTTTACTTGGACAAAAAAAATGATTAATGAACCAAAACAAACTAATGTTGGACCTCTGAACTGAGTTCATGGTTAACAATGAACATGATTAATTAACTTTATCCTGACCAAACTGAATTTAGATCAAGTTTTCATTAAAAGCTGAACTGCACACCTTAAATTGCTGTGTTTGGAAGTAGCAACCCTTGTATCCTGTCTTCTGCCTTATTATTTCTGCCTTTGCATAGACACTGAGTTCTGCCTGTGCGTCAACATGTTGCCATAACATTGTTTCTTCACAGATTATGCAGGTAAGACATCAGCTTTGTTTGGGTGGAGCTCTGTAATTTTCTTCCCTGGTTTGCACAAACAATTTTGATGGCTTTAGAAAAACAGTGTTGATTTCTATCACCGACATCCTCATTGGTGATGGACTGAATGTAAATAAATAAATGTTATAGTGGCAGAATAAAGATACGGTCCCTTCTGGGGTTGCTCATGCACTAGCTAGTGTAGCATCAGAGTTCAATTAATGACACTTAGAGCTGTTTGCATTAAAAGAAAATAGCTTATAATCAGATGTGCTCATATTTACAGGTTCCACTGCATTTTAAATGTCAAAAAGAGTCCAATATCAAAACTACTGATTTCATCTGAAGGAGATATAAAGAAAACTTTCAAGTTACACCAATATCATGTTTGGACCTGTTAATAGCCAAAGTACTGGGATAATTCAAGTTTATCAATTAGAATTGGTCATCTTTTCAAGTTGTGTCTGTGAAATATTGTGACCCAAAAGCAAAGTTTTTAATATATATAAAAAACTAATATATATATTATAAGTTTTAATATATATAAAACTTATATATATATATATATATATATATATATATATATATATATTTTATAGTCACAAAATAGTCTACATTCAGTGTTCGCCTTTTCAGTTGGTGAGAATAAATGAAAAAAAAAAAGATTTGTAAAAAATCTTTTCATTCAGTTAAAAAGTCACAATTTGTATTGTAGAATATATATTTTTATCTTAAATAGAGAGAAAGCAAACGTTCACAGTTAAATCTTGAAATTGGGCTATAAAATATTTCCAATTTTTGATGGAATCCATGCATTCTGCAGGATAATCAAGCATAGTGCTCACGAATAGAATCAGTTGACTTTAAGACTGGGATGGTTAAAATAATTTAAGCTTCTTTAGAGGGCTGCACAGTGGCGCAGCTGGTAGAGCTGTTGCCTTGCAGCAAGAAGGTTTCGATTCCCAGCCTGGGGTCTTTCTGCATGGAGTTTGCATGTTCTTTCTGTGCATGGTGGGTTCTCTCCGGGTACTCCGGTTTCCTCCCACAGTCCAAAAACATGACTGTCAGATTAATTGGCCTCTCCAAATTCTCCCTAGGTGTGAGCGTGTGTGCATGGTTGTGTGTATTGTCTGTCTCTGTGTTGCCCTGCGACAGACTGGCGACCTGTCCAGGGTGACCCCTGCCTCTCCCCCCGAAACGTTAGCAGGAGATAGGCACCAGCACCCCTCCCGGCCCCACTTAGGGACAAGGGTGTACAGAAAATGGATGGATGGATGGATGGATGGATGGATGGATGGATGGATGGATGGATGGATGGATGGATGGATGGATGGATACGCTTCTTTAAGTCCAAAACCTTCAGCAACAAGCCCAAGCTAGTTAACAGGTTTTGTTGTTATGCAATAGCCATAGTTATAACTCAATGCAAATTTGTTATAACAATGAAATACAACATAGAAATATATTATGTCTACTGTTGGAACAAAAAATATGTCTACACTACAAAATGACCGTTTTTCTTTTCCTAGAGTGGCACCTCCATAATGTCACAAATATTAGTACACGGTGTACATTTATCGGAACCGGTTCGGGTTTTTGCCCCTCCAAACCCTCCATACCATGCAGCTGTGAGCAGCGTCGCTGTGACTCAGTGAAGCCGTGTGGGAGGAGTTAAAGTAAGATGGCTGCGGGAGAGGGAAGAGTGTTTGAGAAATCATCAAATGGGATGTTTATCTGTCGCTAACAGGATGCACAGCTGCCCCGAAGAAGGAGTGGTTAATTTGTTAGCGTCGCCGGGTCAGTGTGGAGCAGTTCGCCGGTTGCCTCTGCGCTGTGTTCGTGTCGTCAGCCGTTCATTGCTCTGACATTGTGGAATTCATCAACAGCTAGGCGTTAGCAGGCAGCTAGCTGGCAGCTAGCTATCCGAGGAAATCTGCTCCTCTTCAACAGCTGCTGAGACCCCGGCACATAAACAAGGTGCGCATTCTTGGTGCTGCTTTCTTAATTTATGCGTGTGTGTTGACTTTCTTGGTCAGGTATATTTAATTCAGGGCTTTTGAGAAAGAATAAGTTAATATTTTACAGTGTAAACTAGGTCGCTTCATCGTTTCGAAATTGAATTGCATTGATTGTTATTTTCCGACGTCGCCCGGTGAAACGCCTCTGCGGGCTGGTTAAACCGAAATGCAGAATGGCAACTCTTAAAAAAAAAAAGCAAAAATGAAAGTAATCAGAAAGGCAGCGTTAAGTTTTTGTCAAAGGCAGGGACTGACACGAACATATGATGTAAAAGCATTAGGAAAGATTCAACCTTTGAACTCCTGCCTCCTTAGCTTAATTAACTCGGACACATTCCTCTGGTTATCTCTAAACTCTGGGGCTGAACAGTAAACGTTCAACAGTCTGTCATCTCACCTGATAAAACCCGCGGTGAATAAAAGCAAAGCGGACTTTCCTTGGGTTTTTATGTTTCACATAAAAAAATATGCAACCGCTGTTAAAAAAAAAAAAAAAAGTAAAGGAGTAGGTAGAAAGGAATTAATTTTCTGAGACTTCTCGGTCTCTGACCTAAAGTCTGCCTTGTATTACTAGTTGTATGCTTTTAGTCTCCATCAAATACAGCCTGGCTTGCTCATAAAAGTGTGATAGAGTCCTAGCTGACATATAATTCACAATCGCTTGCATAACCTGTTAACCTGTTTCTTGACAGATAAGTGTTGCGTAAAATTGCAAACACTATTGAGAAGATTTTATCTGTACATGCATGTATAAGTTTACCTCTGGTGGTTTATTTGGCCACGTTTTTATTCTTATCTGATATTTAGATAACAATGTTTGCACATGTCACCCTTTGAGGAACTAAAAATGCGTAGAAAGTATTTCTCACAACGTTGATGCTGAATGTCTATAGCAGACCGATGATGTGGGTCTGCCTCTTGTCTCCGATTAGATATGCTGATGGTATTGATTGCATTTACCCAACATTTTCCTGTCTACCGTCTTTCTTTACAGCGGTTGGTATCCAGGCTTCACTTTTGCACACAAATACTGCGATGATGTATTTTATATCGACATAAACAAAGCTCACACCCTGGTTGTTATTTTAAAGGAAATGTTAAAAGCAGCTTTTGAAGGTGGCTGTCAAACTTTGTTTTTGAAAATGGATCATTTTGCAGGAAGTGTGTTGGTGCCTTCAGCTGCCATATGTGCTAAACTGCAATTTAAATAAACTTTTTAACAAATGAAGTGTTACTCATAAATGGTTAAATCAACTGAAATATGTTATCTTTTTAGACATAACAGACTCTGAGATCATCTGAAGACTGGTAGAGGTCAGTGGTACAAAATAGGGATGCGCTTATGGAAATTTGACCCAGTGTCAATATCCGATACTAATATACCTGTTAAGGCCAATAACCGATATTTACCGATATTATACACATTACATTTCACTACCCTTTCGACACCTTGGCAGAAAGCAACACACCACTGGCTTCATCACCACTTCTCCCCACAATCCTGTACTGCAACAAAACACATGACTAACCTACAAATGGCATCAAAATAAATATTGCTAATATCGGCACAGTTTTATTTATTGGATCAATTCCGTTATGTTAAATGATATCGGACGATGCCGATGTTGGCGCCAATTATATCGTGTATCCCTAGTACAACAGGAGAAGACTGTGACGGTCTCGGATCAGTCAAAAAGCAAGAAGCGAGTGGACTACAGCGCAAGGCATTCTGGGTCAGTATTACCAAAGCAAACGCGAATCTGAATCTGGCGCTAGCTGGAGAAGTGGCTCGTGGTCTTTCACCAAAGACCACAAAAACAGCTGAAATCTGATGCCACTCAAGTTTTTGTTTGTTTGTTTAAGAAGGAAGTTGCGCTCAGCATCTTCTTCAGAGGTTTTCCTTGTTGTTTCATTCAGCAGTTCTTGGTGCAGCGCCACCACAGGCGAGGGGGTGAACAGGTTTTTCAATTAGTTTGGCTTGTCTGATACAGTGCAGTGTGAAATCGAACCACACCAGCTGAACATACAACAAATGTTGTAATCTTGTTTCTCAATTGAACCAAGTCTACCAGACAACCAGGTGCGAAAACACCCTGAAGGATTCTGGTTAAACCGGAGTCTGTCTCAGTTTGTCCACTGCTTGAAATCACAGCGTCTCTGAAAAAACAAACCGAACTTCTCGCCCTACTTTTAGCCTATCTTAAGAGTTTAATCTGCTACAAGAGGTGGGAATACTCAAGCCCAAAGAATGGTGAGCTTGATCACCGATATTTGACTCAGGTCTTTAGGAACGGCGCCTCCCTTCTGTGGTATCTGCAGTTGCACTTTGAACTCGTTTTATGAGCGCTGCTCTAAAGGTGTGTGTGACCTGAAAGTTAAAGACACTTTGAATTTCTGTGTGTGTGCTGCAGCGCTGAGATCTGCATATGGAGCTCAGGGTATTTTTGTTGAAAGTACTTCAGGTTTTCTGACTGAATTTACATAAATATTGAGGACAAACCTTAGTCAAACAGTATTCCTGAGGTTTTCTTTTTTGTTTGTTTTCCCCCTCCATTCATATCCTTAGATCTCTGCATGAACTCATATGCTGGCCTTATTAAAATAAGGAGTGGTTAATCATTAAACGGAAAAACAAAAGGGTAAACGGTGACCTGGCTTCCTTTCAGAACCACTTGTGTGTAGCTGCTGTGAGAGAAAAAGAAAACTCTGTATGGAGGGTTTTTTTTTTGTTGGTTTTTTTTCTTGTATCGAATCCCAAGTGGAAATCATGAGTCAGTTATCCATGTCATGTGGAAATGAGGAGCACGTTACAAATCTTTGTAATGATGACATTTCTTATTTTAACACCGAGCGTATTAGCTTACTGACTCATTAGGGTGGTTTGCTTTAATGGATCCTTTTGTTCAGGCACAAGTCAAACGGGTTACTAAATGTACAATTTGATGGATTAAGGATGTTTTTTTGTTGTTGTTGTTTTTTTTTTAGCTTATTCAGACCTCAACTTTTGTAAATGTCGTGTTACAGCCACAAACTTCAGTGTATTTTAGTGACAGCCCAACACAGCATCAAGCATAACTGTGAAGTCACAATTTTGAACTAAACTGACACTCTTACTGTGATATTCCAACATTAAGTTAAGTGCAACCAAGTGTCATTCTGGACATAATGGAAGCATATTGAGAAAACGCATCATCCAGTTGGTGGACATGCTTTTCTTTACATGGACTTTGAAGCTAGTCGGTGCTGATGGAGATAAATTAGGGGTTGCACCAACTCGTCGATTCTTTCCTCTGCAATGACTTTTTACGGGGCCACTATTCGCAATGACGTGACAAAACAGATTTTTCCGAGAAACTGAAAGATGAACTAGGTGAGTTCGTCAAACAGCTCGAATTGTATAAAAATGTAAATAATTTACCAAAGAGAAAATTCTAGCAAAGGCTACCGGGTGTCTATATGTAGAGACTGTAGACCGCGGTAGCCTGGAGTCTGACTCCCGTCCGCGGTTCGCTTGGCCCATGTCATCTCTCCCCTGCTCCTCTCTCTACTCCCTGGATTGCTGTCAAATAAAGGCAAACAATGCCAAAAACATTCTTAAAAAAAAAAAAAAAGTCTACTGGAGTGTCATGATGTCGGGATTTTTTTAATATATCATATTTTATATTTATAATAATTTGACTCCTAAATGTGCAGCTATCCATTGATCATCAGTATCGGTTGGTGTTTCGGGGGAAAAAAAAAAAGTCAGACCCGACTTTGTGCAACTTTTTGGACTTTTCTTCACTGCTCACAAAGAAGTCCGGGATAATAATCTGTTTCTTGTTCTTTTAATTATGCATAATAGACTTAGTAAAAGCAGGTTTTTTTTAATCAATATTTGCCGTGAATATAGCTGAGTAAGTTGTGAAACGTTTTGAGCTTATGCCGCCTTGATGTCACTGCGACTAGTTGACGTCGACTCGACTTTTATCATGTTGTAGTCAACCTTAAAAAATATGTTGTTGTTCAACCCCTAAGCTAAACAACAACAATTACAAGGACTGAAGCTGAGTTTCTCATTCTAGTTGGGGCAACAGTAATCCTAAACATGTAGCCAGAGCTTCACTAGAATAATTTAGATTGATGCATATGCATATGTTGGAATGGACCAGTCAAAGTCCAGAACTAAAACCAGTTCAATATTTATCTTGCACTTTAAAAAAAAATAAGAACTTTTTACAGATACTCTGACTGAGCCTGAGCAGTCAGATTGGATGGAAGAATGGTCAATTTTTGTAAAAATAAATAAATTTTAAAAACATAATTTTTCTTTCACTTCTATCTTCCTTTTTTTATTTTACTTTTTTAAATTTGTTTTTCTCTTTTTTTTTAACCCTTTGAAGACAAGGTCTAAATGGCCATCCCGGCGCGCAGTCTCTCTTCTCAGTGCGTCAGCGCTCGCTATGAAGCCATGTAGCGATAGCTAGCAAAACTACTACTAACACTGCACACACTTTTATAAAGTTTGAAGTCCGTGCTGTCCAACAGAGTTGAAATGAAAACTCGGTATGCGTCCATGTTATTACGAAGCCTTATAAATGCGTCACATGCTTGTACGCCGCACGGCGGGCAGCGACTACATAGGGTTCATCTTTTCTTGAATGAAATTTGCTTCATTTTCTCTTGTTCACAGTGACGTCTGAGCTGCCGGTATTCATGTGCACGACTGATGAGTTACGGAGAGAAAAGACATCTTCATGAAAAATATAGCCCGTTATGTTTTTTCTGCTCATTTTTAAATGAACACTTTTTATATGTAGTCGCAAATGCTTCACCGGTTTATAGCGGTGATAACAAATCTATGCCAAGTCACGCAGTTGCTTCTTGTAAAAAAGTGCATGTAAAAGTGTCATCTTTTTGCAGAAAACTGCAAAATTTATGGGAAGGACTTTGTCATTTTGACTATTCTTTGGGGGGTTTTGCAAGTGCTAAAGCCTACATTTTCTGTTGTTGAGTAAGTTTCCATCCAATGTGTCACTGATGGGAAGATTGTGGTTGAATTTGTATGAACTGAATTTGCTTTCTTATATCTGGAAATCACTTTTCTTTTTTTAGTTCTACTTCCTTTTGTTTTATAATTAACCTTGGAGCTCAATTTGAAAGTGAACTCTTCAAACAACAACTAAGCTTTGAAAATACAACAGAAATTTGGTATCCAATGTTATAGATTTGCCTTTTACACTTAACATGCTTGATTTTTAAATTTAAAGTTGTTAAATATGTGGAATATATATCTAATTTTTTGTTATAAGCTTGTGAAGAGACAATGCAACAATCTGAATGAGTTTGACACTTAAAGCCTGAACACTTGTTTATTTGTTTGCTTCTCTTGCCAATAGCCTCTCAGTTTCCACAGTAAACAGGAGCAGGACTTGTTGTAGTTTTCTCTACTACAAGACTGAAACAGTTTCCCTGGTAACGGCATAGTGCAGACGCTTACTTCTATTTGTTGGGGGCAGAGGGAGACTAGAGATCTTTGGCACAAGTGATTTTCTACATACTTGGATTGTTTTTGTCTTGCTGCTTGCAAGATAAATCTGACAATATAGAAATTAGGACATTTATTTTCTTAGGTTTTTGCAGAAAAATTAATTTGTAAAGGACTAAATCTTATTCTATTGACATCCTTTGTTCCAGTTTTTGCAGATATGTAATGCAACAATGTGTGTAATAAGGAGTTTAAGTTCTAGTTAGGTACTAATTGCTACATTACCCTAGTTATGGTGGTTCTTTTGTTCATCAGTTTGTGGTACAGAAAAGCTGTAGATTTAAAGTAAGGAGTCGTTTATCTGTTTGTCTTCACAGAGAGGTGTACCCGTCCTGACCGGCTATGGAGTGGTGTTGGCTTCAGACTGGATGACAGCGTCCACAGGGAGGACAAGAAAGCAAAGTTTCTAAATCAGAAACACCCTTCCCTTTGGAGTCGGCTGATCGGCAGCAACAGCTCGTTCAAGCGTCGTCCTTTTTCTCTGATTGGGATCGCCTCCCTTCCCCTCTCCGTCCCTCTTCCCTTTCTCTTTTCCTTTTTCTTTGTCCATACCTTCTCCTTTAGTTCCCCTCCTGAGCTCTTGCTCTCTGTCCTGGGCGCTTTTGTGTCTGGACTCAGAAGTTCCCATTTTGCTTTTTTTTTTGTTTTGTTTTGTTTTCTTTCCCCCCCTCCCATCCTTCCCTGGCGTTTGAGTCTGTGAGACCTTTCACCTGCCTCCCGCCGGGTTCGGAATGAGCTGGCTTAGCAGGTTGAACCCACGGTCCGGCCGCAGCGCCGTCGCCTCCGTCGCCCCCTCCAACCCGTGCACTGCCGACCCGGAGACATGCCTGATGGTGTTTGAGAACCACTGGAGACAGGTGCGCCGAAGACGCCGCGTGCTCTGCTCACAGTTCTGTTTATGTACTTTGCTGGAAGACATTTTTGTGATACAAGTCAAAAATGAACCCAGATTGAATCTAATTTGGTGAATATAATTTGTTAAAGGAAAAGACTGGCTTTTTGTTGCAGCTGTGGTTGTTACTCAGCTAATTTATGCACTAAATCTTCTCTCCTAATTGGGGAAAAAACCTTTTTTATTACAGATGATCTGGGTCACATCTGAAAGTGGATGTAGTCCTAAAGATTTGTAATTAAGTAGGTATGAAATAGTTTGGAAAATAGATAATAAAATAATAAAATCCAAATAAAATGTCTACAAAAGCATATTGTACATTTTCAAGCATTTGCTTGCTCAAATAAAATTCAGTAAGTGCTTATTTAAATGAGCAGGACTTTAACTGATTCAATTTGATTAATTAATTGCAGATGCTGCAATTAACTAGATTTAAAAATGTATCAAGTTCCACCATTAGTTTGCACTTATGCAAAGGCCAGTGTGATACTGTCTCTGTATGATAACCTTGAGTACAAACTCTGATCGGTATGGGGCTTTTATATAATATTTACACAAAAAATGTAAAACAGAACATATTTAACACAATTTCATTGCTATCTAAATCATAAAAGCAGCACAGTTTCCAACTGCTCCCAAAATAATCTACTGATTGTCAAATGTGTAATATTGTTATCTGCAACATTTACTTGTTATCCATCCGTCCCTGGAAAGGCAGCATTGGGCTAGTTGGTTTTACTGGTGGCCAGTGGGCAAGAGGCAGGTTCAAACCTGGACAGGTTACCAGTTCATCCCAGAGAAACAGACATTGAATTTAGTTCTTGTTTACAATTCCCTGTTGTTCAGCGTTAGATGTTGCCACTCTGCTATTGCAACAACTTTAACAAACTTATATTATCTGTTTAATGCATCAAACTGCATGTCTGCTCATACCGCTAGCTACTGACACTGCTGGTCTATTTGTATATCTCAGACTGCTATAAATTTTACAGTCTGTCGGTGCTTTAATGGATCAGGAAGTGTAGGTTTCAACACTTTTAGGTGGACCGTGTCAGTGCTAACGTAAGGAGCCAGTTTGGCTCATGTCCAGTCCCTGGATAAAAAAGCGTTATGGCTTCCAGAGCGCCGTCTCCTCCTGATGGGTTAAATGGCTCGGAGGCAGCATTAGGCTGTTTTGTTGTTGGAGGTTTGCTCTTTCAACCAGACTCTCAGTAGGATGCTTTTTTTTTTTTTTTTTTTTTTTTTTTAATAAAAAATTTTTTTCAGAAGAAGTAGCTGTGGTACTGATGTTGCAAATTTCCAAACATAATCTCTCCTCCCTCCGACATGACGGCGTGAGCAGTGGTCATAACGAGAAGACCATAAGTAGACGTTGGTTGTGTGGGCGAACATCTGCCCTGTTTTGTGTGTTTGTTTTACTATTCAGTGGCTCGGTTGGCCTTGACTGCAGCTGTCCTTGGGTTTTGTTGGTTTGTCCGTCCCGTTTCCTTCTATCTGCAGGAACTGAAAGGCCTCACCGTTCGGCAGTCAACGTCTCAGTTTAATAATAATCTTGTTCTTTACCTCGATTTTTGCTCACAATAAAGAGTTTTCCACTCAGTTTAGGTGTGCTGGACTGAATCTAAACATACAAACTGTTGGAAATATTTCCACATTTTGCAATTTTTTTCATGTTCCATGTTTTGTAGTTACATATTCATCTGACTTTTAAACTTGGAGTAATCCAAGAGCTGTAAACCTTGCATTAAAATAGGCTTTTAAGGATACAAGAAGCTTTATACTGATATCATTATTATTATTTTTTCTTCAGGTCTCTTGGGTTTTGGATCAGCGAGAAACGTCGTCCTCCAGCGACGACCTGACGGCGGTGCGGAACAACACCGACCAGATGTTGTGTCTGCTGGCGGAAGAGCGTCCCGCCGAGAGCACGGAGGGCGGCTCTTGCGTGGCGCCCATGGGCCCCATCCTGGAGCTGGTTGTCACGGAGAACATCCTGGAGCGCCTGGTTCAATGGCACCTTCGGCGCGGCCTGGACCCGGACAGCCAGGGGGCCCTGCTCAAACTGTTCGAGATGCTCATCGGCCAGTCCCAGCAGCCTCTGCTGCAGCACACAGCCGTTCTCCACCCCCTGCTGAGGCTGCTGGGAGCATGCGCCGACCCAGAACTTGGCTGTCCCCCGGCCTTGGAGAACAGTCTGGTACTGCTGCTTAATCAGGTACACGCAAAGAAATAAATCTTTGGGATACTTTATAACTTTGCGTCTGAGATTTTTTTTTGTTCACATTAAAGTATTTTACCTCCATTTTTTGTTTCTACAGCTTCTAAAAATAGATCAAGTGCTTAAAAAACACACACACAGCTGTTTTTTGGCAGTAAGTTGTTTTTTGGTGTCTGGAAAATGAGCCTTTTCAAAAACCCTCCCGAGTGTAATGTTACAAATCAGCAGGCTCTGTCCCTCACTTGGCAACCCCAGCAAAGCCCAACTCATCACCTAGCAACCCAAGCAGAGCTCCAGCATGTGTAGTCAGCTGGTTTTACCACTGGATGCGCCGTACAATGGCTGCTGGAAAAGACAAGTGTTTTGACAAGCGAATTACCGTCCAGAAACCACTTGCTGCAGGAGGTTCTACTAATGCTTTTCAAAGATGTTCAGTGGTATAATTTCACATCTGTTTGCAGCTATTTTCACCTGCGAGTGTAAACGTTGAGTCGGATGGCATGGCTTATATGGATTTAAAGTGACAAGAGCCTTAAAACGTCTTCTGAAAGGAGACAGACGGACTGAAATCTCACTACCGAAGAATGATTTTGTGCAAAAAATGTAATAATCATGTTTGTTAACCTCCCCAAGGAAGCATAATTGGTCATCTATAATATTTTATTCTTGTTTTGCACTTCATTGAAACCTTTTTTTTTTTTTTTGACTTTTTTGAATCCACAACAGGTCTGCGTGTCCATGGCCCGGCAGCCGGTGGTCCTGGAGATGCTGTTCCAGGCTGTGCCGGCCCAACAGGGCTCCACCAACCTGCTGATCTTCTCCCTCCTCGTGCCGTTCATCCACCGGGACGGAGCCATCGGCCAGCAGGCCCGAGACGCGCTGCTGCTGGTGATGGCGGCCTCGGCCAGTCACGAGGCAGTGGCGCGATACATCTCCGAAAACTCCTATTTCTGCCCGGTAATGCTCAACGTTTGTTTTTTGTTTTTTTAGTGCCAGGTTTCTTTTCTTTTTTTTTCCAGAAAAAAATCAAAACATTTAGAAAGATTAAAGTTAAGTGTCAAAACTCGTATATGGAGGAATTTAATGTTTTTATGGATGATTTCAAACTAAAACATAGAGACTGACTGGTTCTACTACATAGTGTCATCCTGATAAGCACAGATCTAAGGGTGCCATTTTGACTTCTTGCATCAAAGTGATGTATAGTGAAGAGAAGCTGACCTCCTCTTTATTAATATAGCAGCTGAGTACAGCTGAAAAAGTGGGACCCTGGCTTGCTTTCTGACTCTTCAGAAAGAGGAGGATGTGGGCTCTGGAACTCTAATGCATTAGTGATGGTGCGTGATAATGGCTGCAGAAGAAGATGACTATGCACTCTGACAGATCAGCCACCCTTATCTACATCCTATCACGTAGTTTCCTGTGACCATCTCACAAAATAGTCTCTACACTCAAAGAAACGCTTGCATGTTAAGAGGAATATCTCATAAAAGGGATTCTTATGATTTGCATGTGGGTTTGTTGTATTTTTGTTTGATTTTTGTCAATCTTTTTCAGTGAATTCTTCAGTTTTTCTTGTGTTTTGGGATAAGAAATCGCTTTAGGAGATGTCACTATTTTGGAGTTTACTGCTAAAAAAAAAGGCAGATTCTGCTGATTTATTATCAAAATATTAACTTTTTAAAAATCAGCTAACAAAAAATCTGCACACCTTCTTGCAGTTCCCTTTAGCTGCCACCAGATGAGAATAAAGAGTTGCTAAAGTCTTAATGAGTTTTTTTTTTTTTTTTCCTTTCAGCGAGAATTTGCATGTTTACATTTCGGGGCATTTATTCTAAATTGTGAGATAACAAAATCAAAACATGTGGCTCTCTTATGTGAGCTTCAGAGGAGTGGTCACTTCTTCCATCTTTTGACTTTTTCTGTGCACTTTGCTGGCAGTGAGCTGGCTCAGCTATTTCTGCTCACCGTCCTTCCAGCAGTTTCAAGATGACCTACTTGGAAAGGTCCAGTGGAGGACCCAACGCCTGACTCGCGCAGTTTTTTCCTGTCTCTGCTTGCTAACCCGTTACTTTCAGTGATGCATGACATTTTCTCAGGAGGTGACTGTTATTGAGTCATTGCTGCACCTTTCCTCTGCACCCATAACTGGCCTTTTCTCATCTTCTTGACATCATTTTTTCATAATTTCTCAAAGTGAACTACTGTTTATAGATACTTATTGTTTGTTCTTCTCTGACATCATTTTTACAATTTAATTGGTTTTAAAATATTAAATGATCCAGAAGCATAAAGAGTTCATACACAGGTTTAACATTTATGTTTTACAAGTCGTCACTCAATATTTATGATGCAATGTTGAATTTATGTTGCACATTTTATCACTTTTACTCATTCAAGGCATACTTTAAGACACGAATATGCATCTATGCTGTGCCTGACAGGATGCTTGGTGTGTGTTCAAAAAATACACACACACACACACACACTATGATCTCACTTAGGATATATTAATACAAATAGCTTTAATTATTTTGTATAAATAGAGGATTATTTTCCCCCATATTTTTGATTTAATTTCAGAAAGTATCAGTCCAATAAATCATTAAAATTGAATATATGAGATTACAATTCATTACCTTTACAGTTCACTGAAATCACATGTCCTGCATTAGTACTGTGGTTCAAACAAAGTGCTGAGAGGTTTTTTTTTCCTCTTACAAACTTCTTCTGTTTTTACTTTTGTTTTTACACTTCAACAAAAAAAAAAAAAAAAAAAAATGAAGTTAAAAAAAATTTTTTTAAACCCCCCCACCCCCGGGGGAAAAAAAAAT